GGGGGGGGGGGGGGGGGTTTGCTTGGGGAGGCGGATATTTTTCCAGGCGACAATTTGGTACGTAGCTTGCAGTGTGGCATTGCTTAGTGCGTGTGAAGCGCATATGCATGTGTGACGACAAAGAACGAGAATTTAAGAAAGAAAAAATAACCTTGGAAGACAAGACCGACGCGGAAAGTTTCAGCCAAGAAGCAGCGTTTGGCCGCTTATTCTGTGTATCGTCGTTCCGATTTCGGTCGTGAGTGCACCTTACTTTGCTGTCGGCCCCCAAGGAAGGGGCTACAAATGACACCAGCGCCGAACGCCCGACTGTCATCGGTTCTTTTGACGGGGAATCTGTATCGGTACGAAAGTCGTTGGTGTCGTCGGACTGAAAAGGGATGGCCAAAGCTTCGAAAGAGAGAAAGTTTGTCCGGCGCAGCTTCTATAGCCTGCTGAACAAATACGCAATCTACACGTTCCGACGTACGCCAAACACAGTCAGTCCACGCTGAGCTGCATTGAAGGGAACATGCGCTCCGGCCCGTCTCGCCTGTGCGACCGAGGTATTTCACAGGTATAGCGTAGCCTCTCCCGGCATTTTCAGCCTTTGCTTTGCACGTGTAGTCCATGTATGCCCACGAAGAAACAAAGCGTTTGGCGCATTACAGTGCATGTACTCTTCGAAGCTGTAGCTTTCTTGTCCATTGTAGACGCGGAACCAATGCCGGTAACGAAGCGGAAGGCGCTCTGTGGTCTACTTGTATGGAATGGCTCCAACTGTAATTACCTACGAAACACGTGGATGTGACATGTAGACTAGTGCTGTGGTACACTTATTGTAGAACGAGGCCATTTCGCATTTACGCAGGCGTTTCGCGACACCGTTCCTCGTTTCGACGAAGACAATGAACGTTTTAACGATGATGGATAGGTGCAGTCTCGCCGACAGGACTCTTGGTCGGTTCAACCCCCTCATCCGTACTCAAGATTCAGTACACTCCTCCACTCCACATACATGCCGCCATCCGACGCCACAACCGACTCGGGACGAACCACACAACGGCAAGGCACAAGGATGAGGCAAGTGGTTCACCGATTTGAAGAGAGTAGACGAGTCTTTGCAACCGGTCCATGGTGGTCGGTTACTGTCGCAGCACTGCTGGCGACCCATAGCAATACCTTTCCAGGAAAGTCCCGGTCTTGCCCCAGGCTAGACTAGATCTATGAGTTAGCGATTGTGAGGGGGCTACATAAAAAGCTGCTGCGTCATTTGTGTTCTGTACTCAGGCGCAAATACCACGAAGGGCACGCAGTGAAGGTGGTTGGGCCATGCAAGCATGGCGGTTTGCCCTCTTTGGCGCATGCGATTGCTTGCCGTTGTGGCATGAGATTGTGGAAATCTTGTCAGAGCAGAAGACTAAAGTAGTGTGGCATTTTGCAAGCATATCGACGAAAACACGACACCATTGTGGCCACATATATGGTGGCCAGCGCGTCTATCCTTAGGCGTGCTAACGTACTGGGTAGCTACGGGGCTCATCTCACCCAGTTGATGAAGAGAATCGCTCCTCTTTCGTGTGCTCTCAAGTATAATGCCCTACGGCCGCCAACCTGTTCTCTTTCTTCGTGACTGTCTGGAAGGTAGACCTCATTTTTACATGGAAACGTCACAATTTTCGAAATTTTGACGAGTTTTGATTATCGTTGAGGGAAACATCAGTTGGAAGAACTTGGGGGTCGATGGACGGCGTCCATGGCGGCACGTTGTTTGAAATGATGGACAGAAAAGAGTCGTGGAAGTTGGTTTGGCAAGGGGCGATCCCACGCAGGGGAGAGAGAGTCAACGAGGCGTTGGTTTATGGCCACAGGTTCCGTTTCGGCAACCCGGCAGTTGCGCCGCATGGTTCGCCCGGGCAGCTCGCGGGTGCGTCTGTCTACACTTAGGGCGGTGCTCTCGCCTTGCACGTGCCATTGACACCCCGCACAATAACCTACGTCTGAACAGGAATACCGCGCTTGGAATGCCAGGTGACTGCCTTTCTCGAATGTAAAAGTAGTTGTTATTCTTTGAATAAAAAGTCCATATGTACCAGCCAACCTAAAAAATGCCGGTGCTGCTCGCGCGTCTGCCACACACGGGCAGCCGTGAATATAAGAATCAACAGTAGGCTCTCCATAGACTCGAACCCAGATACCCGCACGCCTGGAACGTCTAATGCTGGTAACTGACGGCCCGACGGCGGCTTGTCGTTACTCCCCGACCCGCCCACGGCAAACCAGGGGGCAGCGAGATATGTCGCGGATGCACGTATTGTAGGTACTGCAGAATGCACCACTGCAGCAGTGCATTAGGGACCCTCAGTTTTACGGACGCTCAAAATACGAAATCGAATATTTTTTAAAGAGCACAACCCCTTCTTTCGAATGTTCATCGCCTTCCCGGTCGCCAGGCCGAACCAAATAGGTTCGCACACAATTAACACATATCACATATAAACCAAACCAAAAAGGTTCGTATGTAATTAGCACATAAATTATCCCACACAACCCGAGTTCGTGAGGGGGGCCGGGTCACCCGTACCCCACTACTAGCATCACACCCATCAATTTTGAGGAATGGGCCCCAAGATAGAGAGTGAATCGCTAGTAATGGGTACACAGGGTGGACCCCCTCAATTTGTATTAGGTGCCAACCTCATGTATCATCAAAACCACCAATACAAATCATACCATCATCATTCCTACGTAGACTACACTTCGAGCCGGAAATTTCACAATGTCAACCGTTTTTTTCAAAAGACTAAAAATTGACGCTACAAAGCATAGTCCTAGCCTTAAATTTCTCAGGCGCTTCTTCATAATAGAACCCTTCGTTCATTGTAACAATGATCTTCGGACATTTGACTCTTATACCCTTTTGGTACTTCACATCCACATAACCTGCCCATCAAAAAGCTGCGTTACACGCTGCCCACCCAAATCCTTTCTGTCTTCATCCATATCATCCCGTACAACGATGTCCTGTCCTTCAAACTGGGTCCATTCCCGTAGACTCGTAGGGGATTCAAACAGCGAAATACCACGCGCTTCAGCTCAGCTATAGACAGAAGAAGACTTACAATAGTCGGGTCTTCCCTGCATGATAATACAATCACCCTTCAATTTCTTTTCAGCGAACCATGACAACGCTTGAAGGGATAAAGCTACGAAGGATATATATTGCGGCAGAGCACGCTATCATCCTGAACAGACGGCGACAGGGAAAAAAAATCAATATCCAGACGCCACACACCACTCTGTTACGCGCACCCGCGCGTATCACCGCTGGAGGAATGAGGGTGACTACCCGAGCGAGTCCAAAATACGGTGACGAAACTCAACACCCAAACAAATTTCCGAACGAATACGGCCTTTGATACTGGACGCGACGCAAAAGGAAAACTCAATGCAATCCAGGACGTTAACGAAGGGCAGGAGAAAAGAACGACCGGCAAAGGCACGGCGAACGATGGCCAGCGTGCCAGGGTACCCAACCCGTATAAGGAGACGGCAGGGGCAAGACCTAATGAGGACCAAGGATGCAAAGCACAAGCGATCAACGCAAGAGAGGCGGTCGACGAACTGCGCCATGGCTCGCTGGCGATACGCACCATTCAAAGACATAAAACACAGAAAGTCGTAGAGATTCACACAACAAGACGACGACTCAGGGGCGCTACTGTGATGAAGGCGTCGCCCGAAGATGGCGATGATGGAGACGAAGCAGAACTAAGTGTGGGTAACGACGAAAATCCATGGAAGAAGGCGACGCCACGGGATGGAATCCCGAAGCACCAAGAGTATGCAACACTTCGGCGGCACCATGGAACTAAAAATAACAAAAAAGACAACCTTAGTTGGCGAACAGGCGAACCAGGAAAACGCGGGGGACTCGGTTTCCAAGTGTCCCGAGGCAAACATCACCGACGAAACTTGGGAAACTCTTTTTCCAAGTGTTCAGAGGCAGACAACACCAACGAAACTTGGAGGAAGGCTGGTCGAAAGAACCAGAGACCAACCACAACAAAAAAAAAGTTAAGCAAAGACGAGAGAGAACGGACATCCAGGTCGCGGCAGTTCACTGGTTCAGATGAATGCAGGCAACAAGGAAGAAGGATCACTCGACACTGCGTGAATTGAGGCGGCGTTGCCCCAGCGTTCAAAACAAAATAAGCCAACGAAAGAAAAGAGATAAAACAGAAAAACAAAACAAAACAAAATAAAACAAAACTGAAGGTGACAGAAAAAAAAAAAAAGGAAACGTCGGCGAGAAGGATGGCACAAAAGACCAAAATGGGTCGATTGGTATATGAAAACGACGACGCTTTGAAGAAATGGTGGGAACAGCCGACGGTAAGGAGTCAGCAAGGAGCGGAGTGCGACCACGGTTGCCGCCCAGAGGGCGCGAACGATGTTTCTCTAAACACCATGATCCACAGACGGCGTCCAAG